GCCGCGCATCCCGCACCGGGCGCCGGGGCTGCCGCGGGTGGGACGGGTCCGTGTCCGGGTCCGTGTGTGTCCGGGTCCGGGTCCGGGTCCGGGTCCGTGTCCGTGTCCGGGTCCCTGCAGCGGGGCTGGAACTCGATCTTTAAGGTCCCTTCCAGCCCAGCCCCAGGCAGACCCGCAGTTCTCCGGGCAGGGAGACGAGCGGGTCGCGAACAGGAAAGAACCCAAAAGACGAAGAGGAAGGGCGAGGAGCTGGAGAACTGGAGATGGAGAAGTGGGACGGAGCTCGAAACTGGTCCGTCAAAAAGAGGGAACAGAGAAAAACCCAAGTGAGCAAGACCCTTGAGAAACGTCCTAAAATGCCGGCGTATGGTGGAGTCTTTTTTTTCTTCCATATTCACTGCAATCCTGGCACTGCCACACAAAACCCGTGGGACTGGGAAGGAGCAGCAACTGGTTAAACTCTCAAGGTGCAGTTTGCATCTCAGTGGGTCAGCAGCTAAACCCAACTTGCTGATGTTTTGGTTTTAAACGTTTTGAGTGAGGCAGGAGAAGAATGCGGTTCTTAAGGCGCAGTGCTGGGCTCCTCCATCACAGGCCGAGGCACCGACGCTGGTTCCTGAGGCACTTGAAGAAAAACAGGTCAACACCGTCAGAACCCCAGACGTTTCTACTTTCTACATGTAGAAATATAACAAGATTCCTGTATTTTTACCTCTTGACTAAGTATTTTACTTCATAGTGTAAAATTTCACATCATAATCTTGGGTCTCTCTGAAAGAAACTATTATAAGAATGATTTCCCTTTTTTACTGTTCCTTTTTTAAGAATCAGTGTTTCAGTAATCACATGTAATAAAATTTTATGCGTCTTGCAAATATACATACGCTGTGTATTTATTATTTGTACTGTGAATATTTTAATTACATAAATAGCACTTTTATAGGCAAAGGAAAATTTTTATCTACTTTCCAGCAACACTGTGATATTTTCATAAGAGAAAACATCCTCAATTTTATTTTACAAACCTGATAAATTTCACTTTTACAGAAAATGTGAATTTAGTTTCTGCCCGTGTATGTTCTACTTATGAGAACATAATAGCTGATTTGGATGAAACAGATCACGTCCCAAGAAGGAACATTAATACTCTGTAGGGCTCATACTAGATCTCTTATAAAGGAATTTGATCTACTTACTTTAGACAAATGCTTCCTTCAGAAGGACTTGGATAAGATCATTGATGAACAAGCTGTTCATGTTGAAGAACAAGATAAAGCAGCAGAAGAAACTGTATTTAAGTTCAAACTGATAAAGTCAGTTTTGATCAACTTCTCCTTAGGGGAAGGATGGAGTCTTAAGTGTTCAGGACTAGGCTTGGTGTAGGATGCACGACAGCAGAGATTTCCCCTGTTCTGTTGGGTTACACCAGAAGTCCATCCAGCTCAGAATCATGCTCCACAATGACTCAGTGGATGCCTGGGAAAAGGGTATTGGAAACAAGGCACTTAGAGAGCAGTTATTGCCATGGCACATCCTTGTAGTTTTTAGAAATAAATGGTTTACAGCATCCTTATCTGGAAGTTTGTAATTCAGCCAGTATATTTAATAGCTCTTGATGGACTTTATGAGCTTGGCTATTGCCTTCTGTGAACCCAGTTATATGGTAAAACATTAGCTGTTAAGGATTTATTTAGGTAGAGTCTTGCAGAATAAAAAAATGCTTCATTTTGCTTGGGTTTAACCTACTGGTTAATAGTCTTATCACATAACGTAACAATTGTTGCACTTCACCTTCTTTGCACCATCTGAGTTTTAATGCATCTTACAGTTGTTCCCCACTGCCCTTGCAGAGCCCTAAATCCCACCTTGCATGAAGCCACTCGTGACTGAGGGAACAGTTCTATTGCTTGACTATCCTCACTGCCCTCCCCTGCTCCTAATCCAATTCTGGAGATGCTGGAATTAAAACATCAAAATTTGGGTATATCACGAGTTTGACTGTGGTAGTTACTATTTACATTTTGCTCTCAGTCCTCTTTTGTGTATTTGCAAACATTTTGTATTTATTACCTTCGCTGAGCTGTTACACAGCAGTTTTCCTAACTGTTTTACCTTATGACAAGGCTCTAGGGAACGTCAGTGCTTAAAACTGTATTATTTTAATAAAAATTATGCTGGTTACTATGCAAACTACCAGTACTTAGAGGGAAAATGTTATGCTGCAGATATATTAGAAGCAAAAACCACAAATATTTTTTCAGTGTAGCTTTTTGTCAACCATTACTTTTAATAGCTGTAAAAATGAACTAGAATTGAGAGCT